TCTTTCAAGGACGCGGCACAAAGACATATTTGGGGGATAAATTGTGTGACAATGTTTTTATGATGTTTTGCTATCTGTATTAATGATATTTCTGTTGGTTTTAACTGATTTTAATGATTGGCTCTGTTGTGATATCACGTCTCGTCCGGTTACAAGCTCATGTCTCTGGTAAACGTAGCTTCTCATTTGTAAATAAGGAGATATTCATATAAATCTCAAGTGTTGTTTTGGGTTCAAGGTTCGAATTACCGGCATCCTTTCACTTTTACTACCACACTGCAAAAAGTTATGAAAATACTTTGGCAAAATGTCTTTTTTTTGAGCAAATGGTGTCAGTCTTAAAACAAGATTTGCCAATGGAAGCAACATTATCTTGTTCTTATAATAAATATACAAGAAATGTCTCCCTTGGAATGAGAAATGACATATCCCATTGACAAATCTTTTTTTTAAGACGGTCAGAATGTACTCAAATTAAGATAATAAACACAAGATTCAAGCCATTATGACCTAATACTTCATACTTTTGCAGTGCACGTCCCCAGCTACAGCACTTGTGACTAGTGGCTGTAAACAAGTTGTCTAAAGTCTGCTAAAACTGTTGTGTCACATATCTGGAGGAAAGAGTGTGATTCTAGCGTATATTCTGTTGAAGAACTGAGTAATTACAGCTCATGTAGAATGTAAAACAAAATGACGGCTCTGTGAGTTCTAGATTAAAAGGCCTCACTTTATTATGAATATTGTGTCTTGCGTTTGTCCGTTTTGTGAAGGCCAGATTCCATAATTCCCCTAGAATAATTTTACTCATCATATTTATTAGTTTATTTATTAGCCCCCGCTGAAAGACCAAGGCTGTTTCACCACTGACAGAGCAGCCATCTTCCTGTGGACTCACCCCCTGCAGAGGATCAGCGAGGGACTGGTGCTATGAGCATTGGCAGCTCTCATTGCCACCCCCCTGACCCAGAAATGGACAATAAAGGGCTTGAAAATGAATGAATGAATGAATATTTATTAGTGTTTAGTGTCAAAACTGAAAGTAGCAAAGTTTGGTGAAATAGCTCATATCCATCCATCCATTTTCTACCCTTTAATCCATTTCTGGGTCAGGGGGGTGGCAATCAGAGATGCCACCCAAATCTCATAGCACCAGCCCCTCACTGATCCTCTGCGGGTGGTGAGTCCACAGGAGCTGAGATCTTCCAGCGGGGGCTTTTGGGCAAAGTGGGGTTAAGTGTCTTGCCCAAGGACACAACGACAGCAGTCATCAGTGGGAGTCGGTGGAGAAGGTGCAGAGGTGGGAATTGAACCCACAACCTTCTGGCCTTAAGGCCAATGCTCTACCAACTGAGCTACTGTCGCCCCATATAGCTCATATATTCCGGTTAAATGGGTCACTCTGCTGATGCTGGTCCATCTCCTCCCAGCAGGTGTAGCAGCAGTGCTCAACTCAAGCAGCCGCTTCTGACCCGAGGTTTGTTTTACAGAATGTTCAAGCTAATTTCTCAACTCAGAAAAACATAACCAAGAGACTTCCTGACACAGTTTTTGGCAAATTTCTGCGGACGACTTTGTAAAGTAGTTTAAGTCACCAAAAGTGTCAGGGACGCAGTTTTGTTTACCGCCAGAGGGACAAACATGGTGGATAGCTAATGCCAGGTCACATGACAGAAAGCCATGCTATATCAACTGTGAGTTTGAAATTGGGCGATTTTGTCAATATCGCATTAGGACTCTGAATCCTTGTATAGTTTATTTGCAAAAGCAGATATTTCAGATTTTAAAAACATGTCAAAAAGTTGTATTTCTCAAGTAACAATCTTCCGTGTGTGTTATTGGCAGAACATTTGACTGTACAAACTATTAGTATTGCACTAAAACTATCCAGCTTTTTTCTTTTTTTATACTTGAGTACTTGATTGAATACACATTGTGGCCTTTTTAAATATCACTTATCTGCTTTGGCAAAAATTAAGAAAACAAATGCAGTATCAATATGAATAAAAATAGACATGATAAAGGTGTCTTTTCTTCTCAGGTCAACTGACAGCACTAAGTATATATTCATATTTACTCTAGTTCTGTTTTTGACGAGGAAAATATATACTGTATTCAGCATGGCAAACCTCCATTACCGACATCCACCAAACAAGCTGCAATTCCAACCGCAAGTCAGTAAGGCTATCACTACACACTCGTCACAAATCTATTTCTCAGATTTGTGGAGAGGCCAAATTACACCCGCCAGTCGCACGGCTTGAATAATGGCAGCCCACAGCGCTGGTATGATGAGACAGGATGTGCCTCCATGCCCCTGTGAACAAAGTGAACCTTGCAGGATCACGCCGCCACTGATCCCCCTCGCACAGAACCAGCGATGAGTCCACGGATAAGAACGGAAATCAAAGTGTCTCATAACAGGGACTACGGGTTGAGGGTGGCAGAGCAGGACAGCCGGAGAGCCAAGTTGTGTCCTGAATATGGCTATAACTCAAGACACATTGGGGAGGGAGCGAGTAGATGAGCGATACCAAAAGTTTATGTGTTCCGGGGTGTTTGGATGTGATTTTAGTGTCCTTCTATGCTTCCAATGATGGCTTTTTGTTTGGAAAATATTACTAAATATAACATCTCATTGTGCTAATGGGGGGTGTATCCATGGTAACAGTCATTTGTCGCTAAGAATTTAGAAATGAATTCCTTCATTGCTAGGAATTAAGAACATATGGTTTAAAGTCACAACCATTGATACTTTGCTGTATGGAAAACTGTGGTCTCTTGTGTATTGTCCCTCTGATCTTTTATCTGTGCTAATGTATCTATTTTACATATTTTACCACATGTTACACACCCTGTTTTGTTATGTCTCTGTGATGGTGTGTGTCTCTGTGTGGGTTTGTATGTGTGTGTCTGTGTGTGCCTGTTGTATGCTTTATCTGTCTTAATATCAACCTGCCATGGGACTACGGATGAAAATTAGCCTACATGGCTAACTCTGGCACATTTACATGTTAAAAACACATGTTGATGAATGTGCACTGTCCCAATTCAAATAAAGATTACAAAAAAAACAAAAAAAACAAAAAAACAATATATATCATATCTTTTGAATGTTAAATTTCAAGCTTAAAACTATCAAATTCGCAAGGAAACAATTTGCCCAAAAACATGTTGGATAAATAAAAAACAGCTTCTATAGTATACAACATTGTTTAAGGAGTATGTTTGCTCTCAGTTATACATGGAAAAGTTTTGGCACCCTTCTACATTTTCATGATTTTCCTTTATAAATCATTGGTTGTTTGGATAGGACATGTCAGTTAAATATATCATCACAGTGATATTTGAGAAGTGAACTAAAGTTTGTATCATTCACAGAGAGTGTGCTAGAAATATTGAAGCCAGGCATGTGTAAATGTTCTCACAAAACTGAAAAACGGGGTAGAAACAATTTTAAATACACATCAGTGCATTAAAATTATTTGGGGAAATATGCATTCTTTTTGTTCCATTTATCATAGTGGCCCATGCAATCTTCAGTAAACCCAATAGTTAAACCGATGCAGATAAACACTCAAATATAGAGAATGTCAACTTTGGTGAAAGTCAAAGTCAAGTTTATTTACACCTACAAGACCCCAAAGTTCAAAGTGTACTCAACAAATGAAGAGACTCTGTATTCTCATAGGCCGAATTGGCTCGTTTGTTAGCTTTTTAAAACACACAACTTTTGATGATTTACTATGGATATTAGTATCTATGGGTGGTACAGCAGTTAGCCCTTGCGCTTGCTTCGATTCCTGAGCCAGATGGTGCCTTTAAGTGAGGAGTTTGTATTCCCTTACCGTCAAAAATATGTTCAATAGTTGTGTGTGCGTGTGGGTTCAGGTTTACTAAGAAGCTGTATTATCTTGCGACAACATGGATCAAGAGGTTCAGCTTGTTAATGCAGGCTCTAACACCAAGACAAACAGACTGTGTAGGATCTGCAGTATACCAAAACAAACACTAATCATGCCTGAAATATTATTGGATTTTTCCTCTTTGATGCCTTCATTTAGCCTTTGTGAATTTGACCAATATGCTGCTTCCACTCCAGACCTGTTTGGCGTAATTAGCCATTGGAGGATAAAGGAAAATAATATTTTATGATTCTTACTTTACTTTAAGCATTGAGAGGAAAAAATATATATTCAGACCCACTGTTATTGTTAAACACCAACTCATGAAAGCAGACTATACGTCCATCATCTAAAGCAGGAGTGACCAATTATTTTCTCTATTTCTCTCCTATTTCCCCAGGCACTGCACTGGCAGAGGCCCTAGCTGCTATAAAGGATGGATGCACAGGAAATATTTATCAACAGGGACAATTAGGAACAACTTTACTTAACTCTCGAGACCAAATTGGGATATTGTCATTTTGTGGAGGCACCATTGAGCCACAATTCAATTAACTAAGCAACAGACCATATCATATTTTAGTTTGGCTTCTGCCCTGGACCTGTGTGTGTCTTTGTAGTGTGTGTGTGTGTGTGTGTGTGTGAGGTTTTCTTTGTTAACATCTGCAAATGAATACAAATAAGCCACAAAAAAAAATCAAATATAACAATTGAAATCAAAGGGTGATGTTTCTGGACGGTGGGAAGATTCTCTTAAAATACATTGTTTTCCACTGGATCTCTCAACCTTAGTTTTTATCCTCTCCCGTCTTTTGCCTTGTGTTATTTTATTTGCATTTGTTGCTCTTCCATTTTCGCCCCGAAATCACAAAGAACTGGTGGTAGCTGCTAAGCGGCTACACAGTCATCCACTGAGCATGTGCGGCCGGATAAAGAGGACACATGGTTCTGAGCATAAGGATCGACAGTGAGGAAGGAATTTACACACATTTGGGCAGGGCTGCCAAAGTATGTATCCAATGAAAAATATTCTGCGTCCTGCCCAACACCATTAACAAGCGATTTGTGTTGCTCTCAAAAATGTAGCACACGTACCACTATCTTGAGCACCGAGCTGAAGATCTTGGTGTCCTCCGTGACTCCTCCGATGTAAAGCTTCCGGGAGAAGATTGGAGCGTGGTCATTTTCATCTCGCACCTCGATGAACACTTTGGCTGTGTTGGCTGCAAACACAAACGTATATACACTTAAACATGACGGAAAGATTTGGCAGATCTAATGTTACGATCGATAAACGCAGCCAGTTGTGCTATGTTCAAAGTCAGTACATTTCAAATTACAACTTCCTCGCTCACGTCAATATGGTTTTCATGGACATCAGTGGGGTCAACACTTCAAAAGCAAAGTCTAAAATGGTTTCCCAAAATATGTCTGCGCTAGATTTGATAGCATGTCAACAAATCTGTCCGTGATAGATGGCTCCTGGCCATGACTTCACCAGGCTGAAGAATGACCTGTAAGAGAGTAAGAGAGTGGGCAGCCCTGTCAGCAGTCGTTGCATCACATGTCACTTGTTTTAGAATTAATTTGCTCCACAGGTTTGGAGCTCGTACGAAATAGCTTCAAGATACATTTAACTTTGTGCTTCAATGATTTTGAAGGGTAATAAAACCAAAACAAACTGCAAAAGAAAAATTGAGAAAATTAGATCAGAGAATCAAATAATTGAAACACAAGAAATGCAATGATAAAAACACATAGAGCCATTGGTTCATAAGGGGCAGATGAGCAGTGTCCATAAATGTTGATAAAGTTCATAAATGTTGGTGAATGTAGAGTGTCCTTCGGGCCCTCATCCATCGGCATATTTGATATTGTCTTTGAAAATCCAGATATGAATCTTGGCAACACGTCTCTTGTTACTCAAATAAGTACGTAGATTGCCTCTCGCTAGCTCATGTTCAAACCGACCTGTTACAGCAAACACTAAAGTGACGTCTGTACTGTGTTCTTCCCCTTCTTATATACATACTGAGGACCACATTGAAATATCAGCCTGCTGTCAGGGGCCGGATACAATTTCAATTTTTTTCTCAGGCTTTTTGCACCTAAACAAACATATTGAAATATGAGGCAGAGCGAGGAGAGCGATTGCGTCTCTTGCGCTATGAACGCAGCACAGAGGTGTATTATAGTATTTATGCTATATCTCTACAAAGTGAGGAGGACTCAGGGGCCTGATAGAAACGGCCAAAAGGGCCGCATCTGGCCAACGGGCCAGGGTTGGTCCACCAGTGGTCTATGATCACAAACTCTGCAGCTAGAAGAGACCTATTATTACTGCTGCTGTCAGATTCTACAATGAAAACTGTTCATGGGGGATTTACTCCCATGTTTTAGATTAGGTTTTACTAATCATGATTTTATGGCATAGTGTATGTCTATGTTGCCTGTATAAACCACTGATTTAACAATAACCTCCCCTCATGAGATAAATAAAGGATCTATCGTTCCATCTATTATGCCCCAAGAGCTGAGACATGTTTACTATGCTTTTTTTTAATATACAGTAAACATTACAGTTCAAGCCACTACATTTACACGCCAATACAGTGTGTGCTTTGGATGCGTTTTCCACCTGAAACTGGTACATGTGCCATTACATTGGCACTAAATTCACAGTTGTTTTTGGCGCTAATGCTTTTTTATGGAAGAGCACTTAAGTTTAGTTTTCCCTAATAGTAAAGAGCGAACTGCTACCTTGATTTTGCTGCCAGCAGTAATGAGGAGGTTTTGTGATTTGAACAGTAAATAAATTTAGACAGAATAAAGGACCGGAAAAGGCTGGGTGACTTCTCCCTAAGCGCATTCTCACAAACAAACTAACAAGCGTATCATTTCTGTTGTGTTTACCCACCAATTAGGGAGTGAAATATGGCTGTGTATAAAAGTACCTTGTAAAACAGCTGATGAAATCTGGCTTTCCACGACTTTATTTTGAGACCCAACCTTCCAAAACTGTATTAACTTCAGAAGCATCATTTACTCAACGGGAGCCTCTTTCCCCCCAGCGCGAAACTAGAACATCAATAAAAAAAGTTTCTTGCAATTGCTTTCACATTATCTGGAATTATTACCTCCGCTGCAGCCAATAAGGCAAGAAGTCAAAAAGAGTGTGAAATGTGCGGAAAACTGCCGTGCTAAATTACTATCACAGTTGTTTCGAGGTCTTTTTGGTAACGGCGAAAAGCCAAATTCTTACTGTAAACACTCTACCTCGCAATTTGTCAAGGCTGTACGCTTTTGCATTGAAATCGTAAATATGTACCCGCACCTCTGTGTACGGCAACTTCAAGTAAAAAATGCTCGCTGTCAAAGACCATTTTTCTTGTGGCCTGGTGCAAATATGCGATGTGGGCTTTGCATTGGAAGCAATGTGGATGCAAGCAAAACCACGGCATATCGAATTAGGGAGGCAAAGGGACACGAGGGAAGGACTCCTGGGAAGACTGGAAAGAAGAGCCTTTTCTACACATACAAGAAATAAATCAAAGCCGTATGAACATAAATATGGCCCTCCCGCTCAGGTACTCCAGGACATGCGGGAAAAGAAATGGGTCCATTAGGATGAAAAATGGCCGCTAATGTGGAGGCCGTGGTTCTCAGCGTTTCCATTTAGCAAACATGCTTAATTGATTTTTGGTTATATGTATGTGTGTGTTGCCTTGTAAACATGTGCAGAAATGGTTGCTAGTGTGTCTTGTATTGATTTCGCTCCTTTGTTGACACATATCAGAGTTGTCTCATGAGAATCGCGGCGCTGAATCAACAGCACGTTTTTCATAGAAGCTGATTTTATTGTTTTTGAAAATTATATTATCAACGATTATGTGACAATGGAAGTCCAGCTTATCCTATAGCTCTAACTTTTTTCTGTCCCATTTCCATTTCACACCACTTTCCTTAGAAACCTTTTTTGTATAAACTGCAACAGGAGTGAGGTGAGATTGGGTCTATAACAATGAGAACAGACATAATGTATCCCATCTATTTATTTTTATTTTTATGATACACGCAACATTACATTTACAGGTGAAATGATTCAACCCAACAGCTCTCCTCTGATTATACTGAGTTGAATACTGATTATTTTCATGAATATTGAAGACTGGTGAACACTGTCGACCTGACCTCACATGTGTGCAATGATGTGAAAAAAATGTCAGAATGTGCAATATGGGACCACATTGTACTCTGTTTTTTTACCGAGTTTCATGCTGCTAATCTGTGCAGTAGTATCATCACTGTCACCATTTGACCCGTCAGAGCTGTTGACTTATTACTTCATTATTCTATATGTACATTTTTAGTATTATTTTGATACACAGCATTACAGCTTTATACCTTTTATATGTATACTTTTTATACTAGTTGCAAGTGTGATATTAGTCCAAGAGTGCAAAGGTGTTCCTGGTCAGACTTTGACCACCACTCCATGTGAAGGAGTTCTGGAGCAAATGAAACAACGAGGAAATCTTATTCTTCATACAGTATGTGCAAACACTTTCATGGTAATTAGATCTGAGTGTCCCATTGGTGACCACAATGATTATCACATAGTGCTCACAGTTGTGTATCCATTAGGCACCAGTTTTGTCAGAAATTGTACAGTGTGGAGCCTTGAAAATTAAGTGAGTACCAAAGAAGAACATATCGAGGTAGAAGGTATGAACACTCCTGTCTCTTCGAAAAAAGGCGTGTTTTTATCTCATGCCTAGTGTTAAGCTGGTCCACTGCCTAAAACATATTTTCAGTCACCCACACGGAAGGTTCACATTTGCAGCTCTTCTATTTTCGTAAAAATCCTCGTCAGGCCACCACAAAGACGTGAAAGAATGCACCAACATCATTCTGCATCTAACAGTAGCTGCAGAATTCTCCTCCGTGTAACGCTCAAAGCACACAGAGAATTAGTGGATCCACGGACTTTGTTGTTTATGTTTGTTCTCGGCTACTGCGAATGTCCATAAAAACTGAGGTAGTGTGATATACACCAATTATTTCTGTAAAAATTACTGTTTTAATTGGTACAAACATTTCCCTAATTACCTTAAAAGAAAGATAAAGGGTTACATTTATGGAAGGCAAGCCACTGTTGTGTTCTGGGCTCTTCTACTTTTGCAAACTAAGGGTTAAGAGAATGCACAATTGTATTAATGTTGGGCATATTACTTTATGAAAACAGAGGATTTTTTTGTAAAAGAACATCTCTGTTCCAAAAGCGGCTAAGACAAACACTTAAATAGCTGTGTTGGAATCAACAAATAATAACATCTTGTGTCACTGAACCCGTTTTGAAATGTATTGACAGGTGGTTAAGGACAGACCAACTTTGGTGCGATTTTGTTAGAACGTTAATTCGGTTGCCTCTCCAAATACTGGTTCCTCACCCTTTGATAATGGCCCCCCTCATCAGTGGCTTGTCTAATCCATCCTAAAAGTGACATGTTTTAGAATAAGCTTCAGATGAGGCTACAGACATGTATTTGAAAGACTATCGAGAAAAGCGTTAACTGAGAAGCTTCTAAATGATGTGAAGTAATACATTGTTCTGCGATGGCAGCGCTATTGTCATGGTCAGTCTCATTTCGGTCCTTTCTTATTCACAGCAGGACAGAGCCAAAGCTGTTAGCTCAATGACACATTTTTGAGTTTTGGACAAAAGCTGGAATTATATAGAGAATCATTTATAAAGGACCGTGCTTCTTGGAAGTCACTAAAAACGCATACGGAGAAACGGTCTTGCCTACATGGAAGTTTGAAGAATGGGCCGTTTTTAGCCTTTGAGCCACAAGCATGCATAAGGGAATGAAAAACATGTCTTTTCCATGCGTGAGTTCCTATGATTACATCAAGCAGAATGATTGCTACTATTAGTTTGTACAGGAGAGTACATATGGAGTTGGCACGCTCCGATATTGAGATTCATAAATGCATTAAATGGAATGGAATGTGCACACTTGTTGTTTGAGCTACATCCATCATGGCCCAGAACGTTCATCAAGAGAAACCCAAAGTATGCTTGCAAAAACAACATAAGGTGATTTATAAAATGTGAGTTTTGGCCGGATAGTTTAAAGCTATTAATCTTGTTTACAGATGCAAGACAGCAAGAGCATGAATGATTGAATAAAAATACAGACCTCATAATGAAGGATCTTTTTTCGGCGCGTGTAATAAATTGAGTATTTTTATCACGTCTGGACAGAAACGTGTCCTGCGGCCAGTTGTATAGTGTAAATAAGACGTCCGAGGGCAGGAATGAAGATGAAGCGTGGAGAGATATTTTATAATGATGTAGTGACTGTACTGTTTGGAAGGTTAGATGTGACAGTGGTGTTTCCTTAACAACGGAATGTGCTACGACTAATAGCAAGGGTGTCCAAACTTTTAATGACTGGGCACCTTTAGCAAACCAGGCTTGTTCAGGGGCTGTAGTGGAAAATGACAATTTATTATATTAATAACATAAGAAACTGAAGAATACTCAATTCAAATTCTTATTTGTATAGTATTTTTTGTCTAAATGAATACAAATTCAGTTTCTCGGCTGTAAATAAACGCCGCCATATTTATTAAACAGCTGATTAGGGCATGGTCTCTTTCGGCTGAAGCAGATTATGATCTGATTTATGTGTACTGCATACAGTATATGTATATGCAGTACACTTGTCCAGGACTCCTTTGAAAAACATGTTCTTAATCTCAATGTGACTTTCCTTGTTAAATAAATAATAATAAAAAAAACATGTACTGATGTATGTATACTGCATTTCTGCACTTTTATTGTATTTGCATTTTACATCGAGCATCTCTGTGTTTTTATGGATCCCCACTGGTGATCCGTCTGCAGATGAAGTTCCTCACAGATGATTAAATGTATTTGAGTTTAATTGAATCTCTAAAGCACAGAGTCTGGAGCACGCACATACAACCTAATGAAATGAAATGAAAATCATCAATCTCTATCAGAACATTTCCAAACTAAAGATGGGCGAGAACAGATGCATATGGACCGTTTCTGCGAGGCACTTACATTTAGAAGCCACGCGGAGGTTGGACATGACCACGAGCATGGAGTCGGCTTGTACCCTGAGGATGTAGCTGGTCACGTTTTCATAATCCAGAGGTTTGGCTGTGGAAATCACCCCAGTCCTGTTGTTCACCTTAAAATCACCTAGCAACAAAATGACAGAATCAACAGAAGCACTTCATTTAGAAGCGGAAATATATTGTTTATTTGTTCACGGTTTCTTTTCATTTCACATGTTTGAAGGCAGTCCTGCTGGTGACTGAATGCATTTAATCTTCACAGGGAAATTGTTTCCTATATATACTGTGCCGAGCATAATAGAATCCCCCTACACATTTCTTTTAAGACTACCCTATACACTGCAAGACTATTTTTTGCATTTACCTTTTGTAGGTTGAATGCACAGAAAGGCGCCATATAAGTAAAAAGTATTATTACCATTATTATCATAATAAATATTACAAATAGCTTGCCAAGAGAATGAGTCTTGTAAGAAGTAGCAGTAAGTAACAGTAACATGCTGTCTTTAGCGTAGAAAGAATACATGCTATTGTTTGCATACTTGAAAGAAAGAGCCCTTTAAGTCATATTTGATGCTTTGGGCTGAGAGCTATTTGGCTGAGTCAGAGTGGTCCTCTCTTTTTTCACTTTCCTCTATGAAAAAGCTGATCCAAAGATGTGACAAAGGCCAAAATACATGTGAAAACTAATTATATGAAAAATAAATATTTGAGTTTGAACGTTAGGTACCCCAGTTTTAATACTGAAAACATTTTCAGGATTCAGATGTGAAGAAGTTTAAAGTGGAGATTAAACAGCTTGATTCATGTGTTATTTTACTTGGGAGTGCTATTAGAATAATTTAAAAGACATGTTTTTCCTGGAAAGGGTCAGATGAGTTTCTGCTAAACCAACAGCGGCGGCAGCAGCGGGGAGTAATACTGTCGTGTGAAAACTAAAGCCTGACGTGAAACTAATTACTTACAGAAAAAGTGCTTCCGAACTTAGGTCAGTGGTTTAAAAACATGCCACAAGGTTAATTGTCAAGGTTTTGTGAAGAGGAGAATGCTCAGACAGTGATTTAAAGCGTTTTACAGTTTAATGGAATAACTACGATAAGAATTCTTAAGGCTTAATCTTTTGGAAATTTACTTTAAAAATAGCAGATATTCAAAGTCATGGTAGATTGCTATTGGCAGTATAATGTTGCTCCTTGAAATTGGACAAAAAGTGATGTACTGCTTTACCAATGCACTGTTTGAACATTAAGACATGAATGAAATGAGATTTTTAAGAAATCCTGGTTTTCTTATGCACCATTACTGTATGCACCATTTCTAACAAGAGTACAGATACAATGATCAAGCAAAACAATTTGACTGGCCACAAAATAATGACTTTTCTTTCAGGAAGCCAAAAGGACATGTAATAACAGATAAACAAAAGCGATGAGTCTGAACATGTGGAGTGGTCAATTCCAAATGTAAGGTTCAATATACACAGAATAGACACATTCTGCTGGATATGTGCTTATGTTGTGGTGTGTCTCTGGATACTGTGTGTATTTGTAAATCCCACCTCGTGCATTCCCTTCCACAATGGAGTAGAAGATGGTTTGATTGATTGCTGCAGCCAGGATGGTTCCCACGCTGGTGCCAACAGGAGCCAGCTCACTCACGGGAGCGAACCTGTGAAGATATGACACAAAACTTCAACTACGAATTCTCAAAACCATAAAAAATAACAGGTGAACATCAAGCCCCGCCAGCCCTGCATCTGTGTGTTCACCCCATATCATTTACTGCCCACAAAAGATTCTTACGATTTTCTCATAAAAAGCAGACAAATGTCTTGAGTTGTTTTTTCATTTATTTTCTTTCAGTGCTTTTCAGTTTTGCGGCTCCAAAATATCCACCATACATTGTGTTTTGTTTCTTACCAGCAGTAAAATGAATAATTAAAAGACTTGGCTCCAAGGGTGCAGAACCTTCGCTTGGGAAAAGTATAGTTATAAATAAGTAATGAACAGCAGTAGCCTCCTGTTTCCAGTATTATCTTTGATATATTACTAAAAATAGAACAAAATTACTGTTTGTCTGGACACATAAGCAAATTTTGTGTGAGTGGGCCAAAAGGTGCACAGCGTGGTATCGGGGTATGTCACCTTGGAAAGTTCAACACTGCTCCATTACTATCCAACGGCTTCTGTATGTGTATAGTGTCAAAGAAAGCTTTAGAAATCTCAAGTTATGATGCTGAAGATTATATACAGGTGCCTAGGTACTAATACACCTTGAACTTCAGCACATTCTGTTCTCTGTCTCATCTCATGTTTACAACTACAAAGAAACACATATTTTAAGATAATATAGACTTTTAAAATATTTGGACTGAGAGTTCACAAACCGGTAACAGACAAGTGCGAAGAGAATGCAAAATAATACATGATTTTGTCATGTTTGTTTTGAGAATTAGTTAATAACTTACACTTATAGCTATTTGATGTTAATTCAGATTGCTTTACTAAAAGATTTCTATAACAGTGCATTAATTTGCCTTTAAAACATAATAACAGCTGAATGTCCAGACTTTGCCCTGGCGATGAAATTACAGGTGTTCTGTTCCATATTGATCAGCATTACAAAGTCTCAGGAACTCCAACTGCAAATCTACCAAGACTCGGCTGTCTGTCTCGACTTACAGCTTAAACAAGGAAAACACTGATCACAGATGCAGACACAAAGCCCAAGGTTACACTGGAGGAGCTGCAGAAATGGAAAGCCAGTGTTGAAGTAAAGTTGAAAGAAGCAAAGCAGGGCACACATGTGAAAGTAGATTACCCTGTGGTCATATAAGTCCAAAAAGTGAACATTTTCACCCAAATGCAAAATGTTAGGTATGGCTCAAAACTAACACTGCTCATCTCCCCAGTGTCAAATATGGGGGTGGCAGCATCATGCAATGGAGCTGTTTTTCCCCAAAAAGGACAGGCATAGGTGTGTCAGAGTTGAGGTGGATGGAGCCAAATACAGAACAATCTTGGGAGTCAACAACACACTTGATGCTGGTGTGGATGGTTAGTTAGGGGTATAATCTAAACATAAAGACTGTTCATGCAATAGAACGATTTAAACAATACAAGGTCCCAGTCAAAGTCCAGACACGTACTTACCATCTAAATCGGACAGAAGAATGGGCTAAACTGTCAGTCCCTAAATGTGAAAAACCTTGAATGCTGTTATTGCAGAATGTTGTATGATGCCTAAACCAGGTGTTGTTTGTGCTTAACAATTGTTGTTTGTGTTAATTTTTTAACTGAAATGTTGCTGCAGCACAGTGTCGATGGTTTTGCACTGGTCCAAACCAGAGCGGAGAGGATTCAAAGACTGAACCAAGAAAAAATCCACTGGAGGAATGCAACTTCTTTTTTTCTAAATGCTAACAAAGCATTCAGCATCTCACTTTAGACCAGCCATTCCCAAAGTCAGTAACACCCCCTAAAAATCTGACGGGTCTGCGCGGCCCCCCAAAATAATAAACAAGAAGAAAACGTTAAAAATAGGCTCTTCCCCTTATTTTATTTGGGGGAAATAGCCTCTGCTACAAACATGTAAATGACACACTCCCGTTTGTAATACAAAAATGATTACAATTTGATTATTCAAGTCAAATAATGAACACAAATATTTTAATATAACAAAGGAGATGAATTTTGCTCAACCTTTCCTCGGGACGTTCGTGCAGCGACCAATCAGAGAGCCGCAAAGTGGTCACGGGGACATTAGTGGTCTGAGCGAGCAGACTGAACATACTGTAAACAGCCAAAACAGGAGCTAGATCAGGACTAAACCAGGACTAAACCAGGGTTGACAATGGGGGACATAGTGCTTGTTAACATGTGAGTTGTCATGCTCCCGTAACTTTATGCAACTGCTTCGAGCGCGTTCGCCGATGCGGTAGTACCGTTAAATAATAAAATAAACTTATTGCGCACCTCCGTGAACACATACTACTGTTATATAAAGTCTGTGAAAGGTCTCTGAACACAGACACCCTGCAAAGCTGCATTATTGGAGAAGATCTGTACACAAGAAGCCGCTAGCTAAACTCTGTTAGCATCAGAGCCCGCTGGCTACTTCCGGCACTTCCGGCGCGCGCCAGGACTTCTGGTCTGAAGACCCCTGCGTCTGAAAACTAGAGAATGTGCGTTTCAGCGTTGGCGATCTGAAAGCACCATTAGACTATAGCTGATAAAATGGTCCAGACCAGTCTACCTAATAACAGATATTGGAGGTTTGCTCTTTTTTTATATATTTTGCACTTTTTGTGTGCAAAATATAGATAATAGATCAGGCTTGTAGGCTATGTGGCCTTATTTTAAATCTACAGAAACATGAATAATTTTGCTGCCGTCACTTCACATTTGTCTGTTACTTGTATAAAACATTCTAAATACATTTTTTATGTTTCGGGTTGTAAACATGACAAAATGTGCAAACTATTGGCCCTGAAGAAGAACTTTTCTAAAGCATTGACAAAAATAAACTGAGGAATCTTGGCCATATTGCTTTTCAAAAATGATTTTCAAAAGAGATGAGGGGACAGCATCAAAGCTATTCAGGAGACAACCAATAAGCGGAAAAGAATGAACTAGATTGATGCAAAGAGGTTGTGGCAGTTATTCCAAATTCAGGGACCACAACGAGGATATATCAAATAGAAAGAAACTTAAATTAAATCTGGAAGTGACTCAGCAGCTATATCATTATATCAAGCTCAGACCAGTGAATATTGTGGTCGTTCGCCACGCTTTGCCCAGATAAAAATTGGTCAGCAGTTAAAAATGAGAGACAGTTATGGGGCCGACCGGCAGCACTGCTTATCCGACTTTAAATCCATACTTAGGTTTATGTGATCATTATTATACTAAGATGTTAAGTGTCACCTAAGCAACAGCTCTAGGGCTAAATGTTGAGCTTTGTGAACCCCATTCAGGAGTTCTGTCTAGTTACGACTCTGTTCGAAGCCGAAAGCAAGCCATAAAGTCTACTTAGCCAAGAGAATGTCACCAAGAGATGCCTATTCTCTGCAGGGAGGGGAGTGCATGCTATTGTGATAAAGCATTGATATATACGGGCTGTCATCGGAGGTGGTTGTTAGCGCTGCGGTTTTAGATACTCGAGAAACAGCACACTGAGAGGCAGCCCCTGGGCTCACCCAAAGCATTATGGGGGAATTAGATCTTCCAATTTCATGGATGTGCAGAGGCAGTCATAGTGGGAATTCTGCAGGAGGATGTTGAGAAAAGACTATTCATTTGGTATTTGGGGAAACAGGCACAGGATGGTGACATGATGGGGTTTATGGGGATGACGGGGGAAAAAGGTTGAGCAACAATGTGATATAATTAAATCGTTCTATAACTGGTTTACATTATTGTAGGGACTGTATGAAGTATGCACTACAACTCGTCAAATAAATTGCAAATGGTAATAATTCACTTTATTTCATGGCAGCTTTCAAGACACCAAGGATGCCTTATACAATATACATCACACACAATATTAAAAGTACAAAATACACGACAAAATAAAATTATAAATAAGAATAAGCCAGTTTAAAAAGGTAGGTTTTTGGATGTGATTTGAAAATGTTGCAGATCAAGCTGTAAAGTTTTCCAGAGTAAGGGAGCAGAGTGGCTGAATTACTGGAAATGGTTGAATTCTTGTCTGTGACATATGTAGCAGTGAGTACTTCAGATTTGCCCGAGAAACTTGGCGTGCTTATATAGCTTATAGGTCGGACCAGGGCCTTTCTGAGTGGAGTTTGCATGTTCTCCCCGTGTCTGCGTAGGTTTCCTCCGGGTGCTCCGGTTTCCCCTAGAACTGAAAACATGTACAATAGGTCTGGCATGCGCCTCCTGTACTGGCGGCTCCGCTCCGATCTGTGTGTGGAGTGAACCGCTTTGAGACTGGTCTGTGAAAGGCGGTATATAAATAAAGATTACTCACTTACTTCTGAAATGTATCACATGTACCATAACGCTTCTAAATCTGTGAAGGACCTCAGGAGGAGTAGTCTCTGCTCTGCTGGGGAGACTAATGGGGCTCCTAAATAAATAAATACACACTGCAGACTGACACTAACCCACACTTCTGTTGTAAATACTGGTTAAAAGGACTTTCTCTTTTCTCATTGCAAAATAAGTTATAAAGGTTTATTTGTAATATTGATGTGCTCCAACAAGTCAATGAAGAAACTTTTCACAGCTTGTAGTGCATATATATATAAAGTATTTGCTTTAATAGATTGGCTGCCCTTTCCAAAAACAGCTGAAATGATAGTGGTAGCGTCCTGAGCAACTTCCACAATGAGGTGGCTATAAGGAAAAGGTATTTTGTTTAGGGCTTGGTTATTGATTTGTCTAAAGCATTTATAACATTGAGTGTACCTTTGTTTGTTGCTAAATCAACCTAATGCAGTGAAAATGTGTTTAGAAAGTTGTTTAAAGTTGGAGAGTGGTGGAAATGGAAACATAAGGGAAAGAGTCCAAGGTAAACATGTTTTCAGAGGACATTATTGAGCGTATACCCATAAATAGGTTTAACTTGAGTCCCTCTCTTAGAGAATCTCTTTCATTCTACAACAAAACATTTTCCTCCCACAGGAAGCAGGCTTGACCCTAACC